TCTTTGTGAAAATTGTGAAAATTTGTGAAAATCAGTGAATTATAGTCTTTTTGTGAAAAATTTTGAAAATTTTTGAAAATCGTGAATTATAGTCTTTGTGAAAAATTGTGAAAATTTTTGAAAATGTGAATTATAGTCTTTTGTGAAAAATTGTGAAAATTTGTGAAAATCGTGAATTATCTTTTTGTGAAAATTGTGAAAATTTTGAAAATATTAATTATAGTCTTTTGTAAAATTGTGAAAATTTGTGAAAATGCATGAATGTAGTCTTTTTGTAAAAAATTGTGAAAACTTTTGAAAATGCGTGAATTATAGTCTTTTTGTGAAAAATTGTGAAAATTTTTCAAAACGTGTGAATTATTGTCTTTTGTGAAAAATTGTGAAAATTTTGAAAATATGAATTATAGTCTTTTTGTGAAAATTGGAAAATTTTGAAAATCGTGAATTATAGTCTTTGTGAAAAATTGTGAAAATTTGAAAATTTTTGAAAATGGTGAATTATAGTCTTTGTGTAAAAATTGTGAAAATTTTTGAAAATCACGTGAATTATAGTCTTTTGTAAAAATTGTGAAATTTGTGAAAATCGTGAATTATAGTCTTTTGTAAAAATTGTGAAAATTTGTGAAAATGCGTGAATTATAGTCTTTGTGAAAAATTGGAAAATTTGTGATGAATTATAATCTTTGTGAAAAAAATTGAAAATTTTGAAAATCGTGAATTATAATGTCTTTTGTGAAAAATTGAAAATTTGTGAAAATCGTGAATTATAGTCTTTTTGTAAAAATTGTGAAAATTTTTGAAAATGTGTGTCTATTTTGTGAAAAATTGTGAAAATTTTGAAAATCGTGAATTATAGTCTTTTGTAAAAATTGTGAAAATTTTGAAAATGCGTGAATTATAGTCTTTGTGAAAAATTGTGAAAATTTTTGAAAATCGTGAATTATAGTCTTTTGGAATTGTGAAAATTTTTCAAAATGCGTGAATTATTGTCTATTTGTGAAAAATTGTAAAAATATTTGAAAATGCGTGAATTATACTCTTTTTCTGGAAAATTGTGAAAATTTTTGAAAATGCGTGAATTATAATCTTTTTGTGAAAAATTGTAAAAAATTGTGAAAATTTTTCAAAATGGGTGAATTATAGTCTTTTGTAAAATTGTGAAAATTTGTGAAAATGCGTGAATTATAGTCTTTGTGAAAAATTGTGAAAATTTTGAAAATGTGTGAATTATAGTCTTTTGTGAAAAATTGTGAAAATTTTGAAAATGGTGAATTATAGTCTTTTGTGAAAAATTGTGATTTTGAAAATGTTAATTATAGTCTTTTTGAAAATTGTGAAAATTTTGAAAATGCGTGAATTATAGTCTTTGTGAAAAATTGTGAAATTTGTGAAAATCGTGAATTATAGTCTTTTTGGAAAATTATTGAAAATTTGAAAATGCGTGAATTATAGTCTTTTTGTGAAAAATTGTAAAAAGTTGTGAAAATTTGTGAAAATTGGTGAATTATAGTCTTTTTGTGAAAAATTGTAAAAATTTTTGAAAATGCGTGAATTATAGTCTTTTTGTGAAAAATTGTGAAAATTTTTGAAAATGTGAATTATAGTCTTTTGTGAAAATTGTGAAAATTTTTGAAAATTGGTGAATTATAGTCTTTTGTGAAAATTGTGAAAAATTTTGAAAATCGTGAATTATAGTCTTTTGTGAAAAATGTGAAAATTTGTGAAAATGCGTGAATTATAGTCTTTTGTGAAAAATTGTGAAAATTTTGAAAATGCGTGAATTATAGTCTTTTGTAAAATTGTAAAATTTTTGAAAATCACGTGAATTATAGTCTTTTGTGAAAAATTGTGAAAGAAAATCGCGTGAATTATAGTCTTTTTGTAAAAATTGTGAAAATTTTTGAAAATCGTGAATTATAGTCTTTTGTGAAAAATTGTGAAAATTTGAAAATCGTGAATTATAGTCTTTTTGTGAAAAATTGTGAAAATTTGTGAAAATGCGTGAATTATAGTCTTTTGTAAAAAATTGTGAAAATTTTGAAAATTCTTGAATTATAGTCTTTGTGAAAAATTGTGAAAATTTTTGAAAATGGTGAATTATAGTCTTTTGAAAAATTGTAAAATTTGTGAAAATGCGTGAATTATAGTCTTTTTTGAAAAATTGTGAAAATTTTTGAAAATGCGTGAATTATAGTCTTTTGTGAAAATTTGTGAAAATTTTGAAAATCGTGAATTATAGTCTTTTGTAAAAATTGTGAAAATGTGAAAATGTGTGAATTATAGTCTTTTTGTAAAAAATTGTGAAAATTTGTGAAAATGCGTGAATTATAGTCTTTTTGAAAAAAATTGTGAAATTTTGAAAATGCGTGAATTATAGTCTTTTTGTGAAAAATTGTGAAAATTTGTGAAAATGCGTGAATTATAGTCTTTTTGTAAAAAATTGTGAAAATTTGTGAAAATTTTTGAAAATGTGTGATTTATGGTCTTTTAGTGAAAAATTGTCAAAATTTGTGGAAATGCGTGAATTATAGTCTTTTTGTGAAAAATTGTGAAAATTTGTGAAAATGCGTGAATTATAGTCTTTTTGCAAAAAATTGTGAAAATTTTGAAAATCGTGAATTATAGTCTTTTGGTGAAAAATTGTGAAAATTTGTGAAAATCGTGAATTATAGTCTTTGTGAAAATTGTGAAAATTTTAAAATGCGTGAATTATAGTCTTTGTGAAAATTGTGAAAATTTTTGAAAAGCGTATTATGTGTTTTTTGAATTGTAAAATTTTTGAAAATGCGTGAATTATAGTCTTTTGTCTGGAAAATTGTGAAAATTTTTGAAAATGCATGAATTATAGTCTTTTGTGAAAAATTGTGAAATTTGTGAAAATCGTGAATTATAGTCTTTGTAAAAATTGTGAAAATTTTGAAAATGCGTGAATTATACTCTTTTGTGAAAATTGTGAAAATTTGTGAAAATGCGTGAATTATAGTCTTTTTGTGAACAATTGTAAAAAGTTGTGAAAATTTGTGAAAATTGGTGAATTATAGTCTTTTGTGAAAATCAAAAATTTTGAAAATGCGTGAATTATAGTCTTTTGAAAATTGTGAAAATTTTGAAAATGCGTGAATTATAGTCTTTGTGAAAAATTGTAGAAAATTTGTGAAAATGCGAATTATAGTTTTTTGTGAAAGTTGTGAAAACTTTGAAAATGCGTGAATTATACTCTTTTTTCTGAAAATCAGAAAATTTTGAAAATGCGTGAATTATAGTCTTTTCGTGAAAAATTGTAAAATTCAGAAAATTCCAGAAAATTGGTGAATATAGTCTTTTTGAAAATCAGAAAATTTTTGAAAATGCGTTAATTAGTCTTTGTAAAAATCAGAAAATTTTCAAAACGCGAATTATTGTTCATTTGAAAAAATTGTAAAATTTTGAAAATGCATGAATTATAATCTTTTTGTGAAAAATTGTAAAAATTTTTGAAAAAGCGTGAATTATAGTCATTGTGAAAAATTGTGAAAATTTGTGAAAATCGTGATTATAGTTTTGTGAAAAGTTGTGAAAATTTGTGAAAATGCGTAATTTATAGTCTTTTTGTAAAAAATTGTAAAAATTTTTGAAAATGCGTGAATTATAGTCTATATGTGAAAAATTGTGAAAGTTTTTAAAAATGCGTGAATTATAGTCTTTTTCAAAAAATTTTATTTGAAAAATACAAAATGGAATTAATTATAGTCTTTGTGTGAAAAATTGTGAAAATTTTGTGAAAATGCGTGAATTATAGTCTTTTTGTGAAAAATTGTGAAAATTTTTGAAAATGTGTGAATGTGTCACTATGGTGTAAACCAAATGAGAAAATAGTAAAATTTCAGATATTATAAACATACCAGAAAATGGTATGTATAACCATGGTGAAATGATGGATAAAAAATAAGTAAATTTTTACGAGGACTTAAAATTTCGTGTTTGTGTGTCACTATGGTGTAAACCAAATGAGAAAATTAGTAATATTTCAGATATCATAAAACATACCGGAAAATGGTATGTATAACCATGATGAAATGATGGATAAAAAACAAGTAAATTTTTACGAGGACTTCAAATTTCGTGTTTGTGTGTCACTATGGTGTAAACCAGATGAGAAAATTAGTAAAATTTCAGATATTATAAAACATACCGGAAAATGGTATGTATAACCATGATGAAATGATGGCTAAAAAACAAGTAAATTTTTACGAGGACTTAAAATTTCGTGTTTGTGTGTCACTATGGTGTAAACCAAATAAGAAAATTAGTAAAATTTCAGAGATTATAAAATATACAGGAAAATGGTATGTATAACCATGATGAAATGATGGATAAAAAACAAGTAAATATTTACGAGGACTTAAAATTTCGTGTTTGTGTGTCACTATGGTGTAAACCAAATAAGAAAATTAGTAAAATTTCAGAGATTATAAAACATACCGGAAAATGGTATGTATAACCATGATGAAATGATGGATAAAAAACAAGTAAATTTTTACGAGGACTTAAAATTTCGTGTTTGTGTGTCACTATGGTGTAAACCATATGAGAAAATTAGTAAATATTCAGAGATTATACAACATACAGAAAATGGTATGGATAACCACGATGGTTATACTTCTATAAATCGAAATTCTAATCCCTTGTAACCTCACGTACAGGCGTTTTTTGTTCATATAATCGATCTTTTAAATTTTATTGGATTAAATTATTCGTGTTCTTTAGGTTCTATACTAGTGATTCCAGAGCTTTTATTAATGATCGAATTCATACGATTCCTGTTTTACTATGTACTATTTCTGAGTTGTCTTTACCAGTGTACAGCGGATACCTCCTTTATTCGCGTGGTTGTAAGTGATGTTATACCTACAAGAAAATGGACGCAATACAAACTTCACGAATTCATTTTATTCCTCCTGTCATTGAAGATAACCCAAACGGCTGGGGTCCTACCTCCGTTTCAGATGCATTTAAAGAAATACCTTATCAACCATTCTCTAAAGGAGATAAACTTGGCAAGGTAAAATATTTTATATTTCATAAGAAATTCCTTGCTATCAATGTCTTCCACTCTGACCTTTAGTTGTTCTTATATTTCTGTGTCACGTGGTGAAATTTATAATCATATTTTACTAGCTATTATTGTAAAACATTGTTATGTAGTCATCATTAAAAAACCACTCTACACTTATAAGATGATAAAATATTATTTCTTGTATTGACTGTATAAATATAGGTCTTATAACATACATTTTCATTTTATGTAGGTTTCTGATTGGTCAAGTACAGCCTATCAAAATCGTTGATACCAAAGTTTGTATTCTGTCTAGATTTCACCATTTTCATGCAGTTTAATCATATTGTTTTACTTCTAAAGATAAATACTTAAATCAATTTGGTGGTGGTAATCAATATGCATATTATCACGAAGAAGATGAATCAACTTTCCATCTTGTTGACACAAGTCGACCACAAAAGCCTGTTTACATGTGCAATAGGAACAAATTCAATCAGGTACAATAGAAAATGTTTCTATACTTTTAAGTCTCAAAATAAAATCACTTCTTTATTATATTTGTAAATTTCTTCATCTAAATGACTCCTTTTACTATGAACAACATTAACATAAAATTTTTTATTTTTAAGAGGAATAATCGACGTGATAAAGAGCGTCAAATGCATTGTCAGCAAGCTGGGATGCAGAATTTGCTGAAGACTCGTGACAACAGACTCCATCGTAAATTGCAAAAACAATTTGCCAACAGAAACAACTGGCAGAAACATAGAAATCAGGTTTGTGATAAACATAGTTGAGGAAGGGGGGGCAGGTTAGTTTTAAGGTGCAACCTCAGTGAAGAAAGTGAACAAAAGAATTGTGATAGTGTGTTACATGTATGTAAACTTTGGACTCCAAAGGATACATTATAAATTTATAGTAATTATGCGACTTGCATAAGATATTATGGTACAAAAACAGATGTACCTCAACCATGAACACCTTGGAGGATACATAATAAATTTATAATAACATGACTGGTACACTTATGGATATACTGTAATTTTATATCCAAAGTGTATAACAATGTGCCCTCCCGGCTATCTCCATAGTAAAATGGTGGCTCCTGCACTTGGGACACAGGACGTACGGTTTATATATATATATTTAACTTATATGTAGACTCCTCAGAGGATACATAATAAATATATAGTAACATGACTGGTACACTTATGGATATACTGTAATTTTATATCTATATGTTTAACTTATATATAGACTCCTCAGAGGATACGTAATGCGTCTGTGATGGTTTGCGAAGAGTGGAAGGTTATTGAAGAAATGGATTTTCCAAGATTATCAAAATTGAGTCTACCAAATGTTCTTGATCCAGATGATTTGTATGTTGTATCAGAATTTATTGTTGTATAAAACCTTCTTTGAATTTGCTAAACAAATGAAAGCAATTTTAACATCTATTCTGAATAGATACTAATGAAGATGTAGATCGTCCAAGTTAGTAGAGCCTTGAGAAAGACTGTTGGTGTTGTTGATAATGTCATACTTATCTTCTCACTTGCTTCTGAGACAGTAAATATCAACATTCCTCACGACTCTACTCTAACCTGGACGATTTATGTCTACAAACATGTAATTACCCTCAATGACGTCATGTGGTATTTGGTTTAACAGAATTTTGTTAGTTGTAATACAGCCAGGGGCGAAACTAGAATGTTAATTGTGGGGGTAAATATTTATGTATTCTAACTCTACTAATGTATTCTAACTTATGTATTCTAACTTATGTATTCTAACTCATCCCCACCCCATCCCCAATGTTCCCCCTCTCTTTGTGACGTCCTGCCATTTGCCTCAAATATTTCATTTACATCATTTCCGTTGCCCATATTGGTAAATTTCCTTCATTTGTCTTCTTTTGTGAACTGCTTCAATAATACTGTCGTGTATCGTGGATGTTTTTTACATGTAGAAAACACTTTGTATTTTCTCATAACTTTCTTGATGCTAGCATGGGTGGTGAGAGTTTATATGTGGTGATATCAAGCGATCATAAGGTACTCGTATATACATCCTTTGTTAATATCTAATTATTTTTAATTATTTTTCTAATTGTCCGACAAATAAAACTATATTTTTTACATGTTAGTTCAGTGGAGATTATGTTGAACTTGGCAAGTGTAGATATTACAAAGCAAGCAATTATTGATCGCTTGTTGGATGGAGTAAAGCAAGTTAGTTTTAAAATATTTGTACGTAGTTAAAAGTTGGAACTTGGAACTTGTAATTTCGTTTCGTCTTTTATTGTATTGATTTTACTCGAATGATTTGGTCAATTTGAACCTCGTCGTTTCTTTAGTGTCAGGTACGATTTGGTAGTACAACCGAATTGGCTTCTGAGAAGGATAGCAGGTGAACTTGTTATTTCTTCGATTGCATTGTATTGTATTCATTTTATTTCATAGTATAATCCTTATTTATCATAATCTTTGTATTTATGATAAATTACAGAATCTCTTGTCTTTGTGAGCAATGGAACATTGTTCTTCAATTTGGCATTAAATCCACAAAAAAGATAAATTCTTTAAGGTATCTTCATCATTCCTCTCTCAATTCAGTCAATTTAAAAGCCATTCTTAAATAAATTGTTTTCATTATTTCTATGTTCATTAAAGGCAGGTGTTAATGAGATCTGAAGGTCAATCTGTGTTCTGGCTATTTATCAAGGAGCATCTTAGCTCTAGTGAAATAAAGACATATAATTCTTTACATAATGTAATGACAGATGTTGGTAGAGGTTAGTCAAGTTGTTGGTTTGTAATGATTCCAGGAATGTTTGTGGGTAAAACCTTTTTGTATGCCATGAATTTGTTCTGACATTTTTCTTTCTATTTTTGATGTTTATTTGACAGCTCAAGCATGGCTTAGGTCTTGTTTAATCAAGCATGGCTTAGGTCTTGTTTAAACGAGCAATCACTAGAGAAATATCTTCATAGCTTCATTGGGCATAAACAATTGCTTTTGTAAGTTTGATCAGTAACATTTAAGAAAGAAAGATCAATCTTGGCTTGATAAGCTATATGATTATCATAACCAATGTATAATGCGATATAGTAATGCAATTTTCTTTTAACGGTAAGCTGTTGATGTCAGAATAATTATACGATGTATAATGTTTTAATTTCAGTCAGTATTATGAGCAAGATGCATTATTATTGGATGATGAACGATCTAGTATGTTACCAATGATGGCTGCTGGTAAGAATAAACTTGTTTATATTTCTATAATGGATTTTTTATCATTCCTTGTTTCTTCTTTAAGGCTTAAGTTCAATTCTTTTTGCAATTGACATTGACAAAGCTGAGTTTAACTCTATTACTGTACAGGTATGCTGGAATGCTATTGATATTGTTTAAAAATGAATCTTTGCAAATAGAAATGGATGGTAAAAAAGTGGAAGCTATGAATGTACTTTTCTTTAATTACTTGAATTTAATTTAATTTAATTTTTAGATTCCCGGCAATATCAGCCAAGCAGTTTCTCGTCCAACATCAATATGGGCTGTACCATCACCAATGTATGCGACGTCAGGAGCTCCTGGTGAAGTTTGTTAAATACAACATTTTAAGAAAATAAAGATTTGATCGGAATTTCATTTTTCTCTCCTGATCAAAAATATCCCTTTTATCCCTAATTATCCCTACCATTCATCTCATATATCGCTAATCTTATCATTCCTTAACCACACATGTCATTTATTCCTTATAATCCCCCAACCATGCGTTCTCCTTAACCTTTATTATCCCATTATTACATGTCTTCATTTATCCCTTAACTATACCTGTTGTTTATTCATCCCTTATCATCCCTTAACCGCGCGTCCTCATTTATTCTTTATCATACTTGAACAATGCGTAGTCATTTATCCCACGCGTCTTTATTAATTTGTAACTTTTATCTTTCTTTTGTGTTTCAGGAAAAGAAAAGAAAAACGTAAAAAGAAAGCAAACATTGCTCAAATTGAAAATGTTGAATTCAAAGAGACGGAAGAAGGAACTTCTACTGTCAGTTCTCATGGTAGTTCTTCCACGACAACGACTGCTCACGATAGTGCCACGAGTTTTACCCGAGCGGCATACGACATATTACAACGTAATACTGATTCTCAGGTACATGCTCGTGGTAACCATGCTTTCACTAAAAGGCCTGACGATTTTCTTGAAATGCCAAAGAACTCTCAGTTGGCTTATTGTTCGAATTCTGAGAATTCAAGTCTTTCTTCCACAATGGCGAAAACCAACGTTGAGAACAAGGAGAATGAAACAGATGAACAAGTGGCTCGATTAACAAAGAAAAGCCAGGAAGTTCTGCATCTTAAAACGAGTTTAAAACTGCGAATGATTTGAAAAAAAATCATTCTTTGACAACATCTTTGCAATCAGGGCGTTACACTGACTCATCGCTCTTGTCGGAGGAAGAAGTGTGTGAGCCTCTTGTTGATATGAACAGCGGTGTATCTCTAATTCCCGTAGTTTGCCCCGATGACGATAAAGGAGTTAGGAGTCTAGCTATGTCAGATGAAAATGAGCGATTTACTGTTGCACCTGAGACGTCGCGACATTTAGTTCATTCAATAAATGATTCGCCCGTTTCAAGGTTAGAAGATACTTCATTATTTTATCGACAAGAATGTCTAACGAGTTCACCATTTTAACGGAGGTGGTAATTTATGTTGTTTTCAGTATTTACACTGATGAAGACGTCGAGAATGATGCAAGTTTAGCAATTGGAGCAACTGTTGCAGCGATATGTGCCACACGTGATGGTAGCATAGAAATTAATGATTACTCAGGATCGTCATTGGTCAGAACCATGGGTGATGGTTGTATGAATGTTAGTTAATTATGAAATGCTTTTATCTTTTGAGGGGAGGGAGGGTAGAAAGCCATGTGTAAATATCTTTGTTATATTTAGTTCGTTATATTTGGTATGTTTTCGTTCTTTAGCCATCAGAGGAATATCCATCAGGCAAAGAAATGACTTCAGGTTTGTGTGTTTTTCTATTCATGTATTTAAATGGTTTTATTTCTTATATCTTTTGAAAAATGTTTTCGGAACGGGAGAGGCACTTTTGCCTCAGGTTCTCAAACTATAAATGGCCTATTAGCAGGTAGAGTTAGTTTTAAATATAGAAATATTTAGTGCAATTGGATTTTACTATTTGTATCGTAGTTGCTTTGCTTGTTTGGAGACATCCGTCAAATTTCATCATGTGAACTGAATATTTGTATGTGTGAATAATTATAATTTCATGAATATCAATAAATACGTGGTTTTTTATTGTTGAAGAGGAATTAAAACAGGCGATTGTATCGATGATGTTAAGAAAAGATGAAGTTGAAGAACGTAACAGGTTGTATTATCGTCCTTCGTTTAATATTAACATTCCATTCGAATATACACTATTTTGCCCTGATTTTTCCTTCGGTCATCTTTCCTGTAGATCATTACAACAACATTTGGAAAAGAGATGATGAAGTCAGCTTCTCTTCGTCTTCAATTAGAAGATTTAAAAGAGATATGTCGTCGAAAAATGAAGAAAATTGCGTCGCTCTTAACGGCTTAAAAGGTTAGGACATTGAGAACTCTGCATTTCCGTTAATCAAAGATGTCTGTTGACCTGTTCGTTTTTGCTCTTTAGTGAAAATGATTTGCTCAAACACCAACTAAAGAAATACGTGGGTGCTGTTCAATCGTTGAAAAGAAATGACATTATGGAAGAAGGTTTACTAGAGGGATAGTTTATCTTTAAAATAGATGTAGAAATCTAAGATATTCGATAATCTTTGTGTAGCTCCAGAAAATGAAAGACTTTCTTCTATCATTCTTTCTCCGGAATCTGACGTCGACGAAGTGAGGTATTTACCGTAAATTTGTAGCAAAAGTGAATCAACGGCGTTGAATTTCGTTTCTTTTTCTTGTAGAAAGGAAGAAAACAAAGATTTTGAGCGAAAGTTGATCCAAGTAAGATTTCCATTAAACCATAAAACTTTTACAAATCGAAACATTTGCCTTAAAAGGTTTTCATGTATCATATGTTGCATGAAGATGAGCCGAAATTTATTTGATAGAAAACTCTTTTATACGATGCACACGATGACTTTAAGAAATATCTAATACAAGAAGATATTTTAACTTATGAAAACTGAGGATCAATAACTGAAATGAAATCGTGATATATGTTTAAAAAAACTCGCCATTCTGACTGATTTCGTGTTCCTTGTTCATCCCTGGGGAATTCATGGTGATGACGTCATGGCGTAAGTTGTGATGAAATGTTGTTTATCATGTTTAAAGGTCGCTGATATGCATGGCGAACTTATTGAACTCAATGAAAGACTACAAAAAATGTTGAATGCTCGTGAATATCAGCTAAGAATATTAAAAGAAGAGCTTGTCAATCTTAGAGGACCGGTATGTTCAGTAAAGACCCGTGTGTTCATTATAGTACAATAGATGTACAGTATTGATCGGTATGTACAATATGAACTGTTTGGTATGAACATGAAAAGCTGTAAATATTCTTTTCATTTTCTAAATATTTCTTAATAAAACTACGTATCTTCGAATGTTCTAGCTTCCTCAGGACAATAATCATGATGAATGTTTATATTTGACGGAGTTTGGTCCAAATTTCATGTCTGTCAATACTCGTCCTTTAATTAACATTTGGATTCCATCTGTTTTGTACAAGGAAAGTCTCCAAACATTCACCATTCTTATCAGGTATAATTTTTTCCATATATTTATCTCTAAAAAAAGTAAATAACTCTTCCGATGTGATGTTGATGGTTATCTGGACTAGGTTAGGGATAACTAGGGACTATATTTCAAGATTTATGATCTATATTTGGTATTTTCCTCGTTTCAAATACATCACCCTTGAGAAAAGTGTTTGTGGTCATCGTATTTAAAAGATCATGTCGTAGTTTAAATTTACTGCTCAAATATTTCACTTTTCATATGTATATGTTTAGTGGTGTTGAGAAAAAATCACAAAACTACAGATTCATCCCGACAAGCCTGTTTCGTGACTGCTCACTCTTCAGGGGATTTTCCTTTAATGACGAAACAGGCTTGTCGGGATGAATCTGTAATTTTGTGATTTTTTCTCAACACCACTAAACATATTTACGCTCTGCTCTCGAGCATCGAGCACTGTTTTATACGGATTTATACTGTTTTATACTGTTATATATATACAAGTGTACATACAATGTGCCCTCCCGGCTATCACCATAGTAAAATTGTGATTCCTGCACTTGGGATACAGGACGTACGGTTACACATTGTATGGATTGTATTGTATAGTCACCACAGTGCTCATATATATATATATATATATATATGGAAGTTTATAATTTATGATTTTCCGTATAAACAGTGCTCGATGCCCAAGAGCAGAGCGTGAATATGTAGAGTTGAAAATACACAAAACTACAATTTCATGACAAGCCTGTTTCGTGATTGCTCACTCTTCAGGATTAAACCGAAACAGGCTTGTCGGGATGAAATTGTAGTTTTTGTGTATTTTTCTCAACACCACTTCACATATATATATATATATATATATATCATCTGCTCAGTGATCCAGTTATTGTCGTCAATAAAGAATTTAACATTGTTTACTTCACAAGGTTTATATCCGTATCAAAGACGATGAATGGAATGTTTACAAAAGATACTCGGATTTTTATGCCCTACATAAGAAGGTTTTTAATAAACATCAGTATTTTAATTTTTTTAATCATATTGTTTTGCCGTAATGTACAATCCTTCCTTTTCCTTTTATGCACAGACAAGCAAGCAGTTTAAACCTGTTGCACAATTCACGTTTCCCGAAGAAAATTATTGGAAATCGTGACGTCAATTTTGTGGAAACACGTCGAAAACAATTGGAAAATTACTTGAGAAAATTGATCAATTATAGTCTGGGTGCTGTTCCAGAGTTAGGTGAAAATCCTTGCAAGAGTTCTTTGTTCAAATACTTCCCATTTTTCATGTGAGTAAACACGTGATCTTTTTCATGTGAGTAAACACGTGATCTTTTTCATGTGAGTAAGCACGTGATCATGTTTGAGTGTAATTTATTGTTCAATAAACAGAATATTAAACGATTTTTTAGTGTTAATGTTTGTAAGGCAAGAATAGACAGAAAAAATTTATAGTCAAAACAAGAACAAAAAGCAATCAAGCGCATGCGCTGATTAGTTTATAGCTGTGTTTTCATTAGCTTGTGCAAACCGATCTGAGCTCAACAAATCAAATCAATCAAAGAGAATTCGCAAATCAATCATGAATACATTTTAGAGGAAAAATTAAAACGTTTTTTTTAAAGTTGTCTATTTCGCATTATTGATATTTTTTAAAAAGATGTTTTTCCTGTTTGCACTGGCTTATGCAAACCTCGGAGACGTTTGTGAGAATTCTTGAGCAATGTGCAGCACTCTACCTTCGGTTTTGGGCTTGCACTGATCTGTTCTCGAGTTCACCTAAAGTTCTCCTCGGTTTGCATAAGCCCGTGCAAACACCTTAAATATCTTTTATTTCGTAATAATACAACACAAAGAACTCAAACTTTGGCTTGTTTTAAAAAGAAAATCAAAATGCTACTGCCTATTATTTCATGAATAGTTTATCAATTTTTTTCTAAACTTTCAGCAAATGTTTTACAGGCAAACTTCAACGGTATCATCTGTTTCAACGACGACAACGACAAAACAAACTGTTCCTTCTACACACAACGGTTAAAAGGTAAAATTTGTAGGATGTCTGTCGAAAAAAACAGAGCATAGAAATTGTATAAGTTATATTGTATATATATAACATACGTATAGTTCAGTATATATAAATATAATATGTCTACAAAGTAGAAGAATTTCCTGATGCATCAACTTCAAGGACTCTTTATTGTATGTGTTGTATACAGATATAATTTGTCAGTATTTGCTACTATATAATAGTACATCATACTGGTTTTAACAAGTTAAAACATAATATTTAACTTGAAATGAAAACAATCGTATATTAAATACATCCCACGAAACCTACTATGCTATTAAATGTTGTGCTATCTCAGCACGATTTGATCAATTTACATATCCCGCGTCACCCAGCTCTTGCTGGCGAATGTTTATACGACTTGACACGTGACCAATTTTGATCAATACGTCATATGACTTTTTGCCGATCTTTCCCGCGCTATGTGTAAAGAGATTTCTTGCTGAAACAATCTTTATCGTAAGTATTATGTAAAATATTTCATTTGTAAGTTTCAAAGTATTACAGTGAGTAATATAACCTTTTTATTTCAAAGAAGAGTAATGCATACAGTCGTTATTGTAAGTATTGTACAAAATTTCTAAGAATAGGATTTACTACTTCCTACATGTATGTATTGTAATATGAAGATGTCTTCAGCTAAAGACGAAACGTTATTGTTGATAAAATTATACAACCATAGCCATATTAAAAGTCTTTGCAATTTCACACATTTTCATGCCAAAGACTATATTTCAGGCAGTTTTACACAATTTCATATTAAAGACTATAGTTTTACAAATTTTCATGCCAAAGATTATACTCTTTGAATTTTTATACACTTTCACACCAAAGACTATTGTCTTTGCATATTCACAAATTTTCACACACTTTCACATCAAAAACTATACTCTTTGCATTTTCACACACTTTTACACCAAAGACAATAGTCTTTGCATTTTCACACACTTTTACACCAAAGACAATAGTCTTTGCATTTTCACACACTTTTACACCAAAGACTATAGTCTTTGCATTTTCACACACTTTTACACCAAAGACAATAGTCTTTGCATTTTCACACACTTTTACACCAAAGACTATAGTATTTCATTTTACACACTTTCACATTGTCGCATGGAGATTGAAAATTTGTTAAAAGAGACAACATATAATGCCGGCTGATAGTTGGATAATAAAATAAAAAAATACATTGTAATAATATTTTTCTATCCGATTCATTCCTTTGATGTGTGCAAAACTAGTTGGTCAGCCTTCATTTACCATTGAAGACCTTTGTATAATTTCAATGTCTGTCACTACGTCAAGCCCACAGGTGCATGGAACATTGTTAGCTACGTTGATGCAAGCACAAAAGATTTTCCTCCATTGAAAATTTAATGCACTAGTGAGGTTAGCACAGTGATTGGGTTTCGAAATTTTACAGTATTTTAATTGCCAAACGTCGTTTTTATGTACACCTGGTAGAATGCTAATTAAAAGAGATGAAATGTTAATGCTAATAAATACAATAAGAAAATGAGATGAAGATAACAATCTAGAGGGTTTATCAAATCATTTTTGACATAAGTGGACCTTTAGAATTTGCATGATTCAGCTGTAGTTGTTCCCCAAGGAGACTTAAATGTTTGGGATTTGCTATTTGCTGTAGCTAAAGTATACGTTTTTATTTATATTGTATTAGATTGCATTTACCGCTCTATTGGGATTAATTACTTCTAAGTATGAATCATGCAAATTCTAAAATTCACAATGTACAATTGACGACACACCTAGTAAATGACCAATCAACACAACAGTTTAGGACACACCTAGTAAATGACCAATCAGAACACAACACGCTTAAAACACGTCTAGTCACTGACCAATCAGAATACAACATGTTCGTGAAACCTGGGCCATAGTCTAAGACTAAGAACGTGCCATTTGAACATGAAAGTCTGCAGTTGCACGAAGAATAGTTAGCCGAAGTCGAAATTATTCCACGGTGAAATATCTCTTGGAGTGCCTTGAAAAAATGTTCAGGTAAATGTCTTGTTTCAAGTTCTTTTGCATTGAGTAAACATTGAATTGGGACACTACATGTGATGTTCATTAATGCAAAGTGCAGTGTGGCCTTTCCATAAAGTTTTCGTCTTAGTAACTTTTGTTTCCTCTATGCTTGATTTTAGACATGGACATTCTTCTCTTAAACGACAATTAGTCATCAAATGAGATTGAGAAACAACGAACAAATGTTGGTGTATTCACCATGATCGTAGACTCCACAATTAAAGAAAGTGGTTATTGTTCACAGCGGTTGAAGAGAATTGTGGCTGTTGTCGACCAATTCCCCGACGCTCATCTAAACATAAGAACAAAATACAATTCAGTAATTTGGTTGAAATTCTTCTTCCCATGAACTACATTACTAGTGAATAAAATGTTCAATGTAAGTATGTTATCAATGTTTTTCATTTATGGAAGTATAGTGTGAACTGACATTGGCTTCAATTGTCCTTTGTAGAAACTTTCTGATCAAGAATGGACAATATACGTACTTTAATGAAATCCTCTGAACAATGATGAAGAATGAACAACTTACTTTAAAGAAGTCCTCTGCAGAATGCTCAAGAATGAACAATTTACTTTAATGAAGACCTCTGAACCATGATCAAGAATGGGCAGTGTACTTTAATGAAATCCTCTGAACAATGATCAAGAATGAACAGCATACTTTAATGAAGTCCTCTGAAGAAAGCCCAAGATTGAACAATTTACTTTAATAAAGACCTCCGAACGATGATCAAGAATGGGCAGTGTACTTTGATGAAATCCTCTGAACAATGATCAAGAATGAACACCATACTTTAATGAAGACCTCTGAAAAACGCTCAAGAATGAGCAATATACTTTAATGAGCTCTTCTAAACAATGATCAAGAATGGACAATGTACTTTGATGAAATTGAAAAATACGTGACTTTTAATGCCCTAAAGACCATCTCTACAAAGAATGCAAACGCTAAACACTATTCTGGAGCAATGCATCCATCAGCCTAACGCCTGTTTCCATGGAAAAGTCAATATTATGACCTTTTCTAAAACATTTTCCTGGGAGTTTTCCTGCTAACATCACGACTGGTCAATCAATCGCAATGATGGATAAAACCACGCCGCTATCAAATGCCCAAATTTCAACATTATTTAATTAAAATTTTTGTAATAAAAACATGGAATTTCTTTAACATAAAAATAAAAAACCTAAAAATCCTAATTTTCCGACTGGCTGTCGATATTTCCGATTTAATGCCGTAGACAACATGCACAGTTGCAAGAAATGGCCAATCTTGTTTCTGTGCTTGCCGTCGTCGACATAAAAGCGGTGATATTTTTCAGGTAGCCTGAAAATTGGATACGATGGTTCCACCATCAATGTTCTGAATTTTTCAAAAAATTATTTTGGGCTTTTTTGTGGCTGTCCTTGCTCAATATCCGATCGTTTTCATCCTCACAATTGGCATGAGATCTGTCATTCATCGTAGTCTGTCGTCGAACTGCCAAGGATTCGTCGAAAACCGTAAGTGTAATAATAATAAACCTTTTATTTAGTTAGGCCTGTTAACAGGTCAAATCTCTAATATAATTCGGGCAATAGCCACAACAAATGATGGTATTCAGTATATTCCACAGTAAAGCCTGTTTTCCACTAGCCACGTATCGTAACGTATCGTAGGAAGACGTAACATGGCGCATGCGTGACTGTGCCTATTGACTATCAAATTCAAAAGCACGCATGCGCCATGTTACGTTTTGCTACGATACGTTACGATACGTGGCTAGTGGAAAGAAGCAGTGTGCGAATTAGTTCAGAAAAAACAATGTGCAATTTTTTTGACAAAAGTGTTTCTTTACAGGCATAATCAAATCGATATTACGCTAATTATTACATAGCGCTAATTGCTAAATTAATATTTTTAAACGTGAACAAATTCATATGATTTACGATAGTGTTTTTCGTTATAACCGCTGATTTTGCACATCGTTTGAAAAAGTGATGTGCAATTGTTTTCATTTTAGCTAAAACGATGTGCAAATTGCACATTGCACACCGTTAATACGCACACTGGAAAGAAGGCTTAAGCCTATTTTTTAATGCAGGAATGCAAGTAAATATATTTAAAGAAATTTACATCTGCATTTTCAAAATAGTCTGGATTAAGAGGTGATAAAAATGTCCATGAATGGATATGGTTCCACTTTACAATTGTTATTTAATATCGGAATTATGAAAATTCCTAGAAAAACAACAATGTTGGATTTTTTAGAAATTTACTTGGGTATAGGTACATGATAGGATACATTTTGTAAAAAGTTTAAGCAAGTTCAAGTCCATATGTATCATTTATTATCCAAACGTAACCACATTTAGAACAATTCCTAAGTATTATTTTCAACAGGATCATTCTCTGATTCTTCAGATGCATTTGATTTCTGTAGTTCAAGAATCTTATTAAAAATTTTCTGTTCAGTTTCACCTTCCTGGCGTAAAAATCCAAAATATATAATGCACAAAAGCATGCCAAATGTTATCACCAATACAGTAAAGGAGCTTCGTCGACCACTATCATGGTATAAAGTGTCATTTACTTTATGATTTTTCGCAGCAGACTTTGAAAATGCTATTAGTTCATCTTTTGAAATTTCTTCACTTGATGATGAAGAGTAATGCTTTTTAGGATAAACGTGTAGACGTATGAGTGGAGAAACAGTTCTGAAAAAGAAAAATTAGTTGAATGTTGAGTCTGGTAATCTAGCGAGTCCAAAAGATCCACAAGAATTCAAAAGATTGCATAAGCAGTACAACAGTTGCACATTTGCAACTTGTCGACATCTTGCCTACACATATAAAATCTGCATTTAAGGACATATAGCACCCCAATAATTTACCTTTTACAATTACAAATCAACATGTGCTTAGTTGCTTTGAAAAAT